TTTTTGCAAAAGGAGTAGCAAAATATACCTGAAGACTGGCTCCAAATGATCCTAAAGAAAAGATATGATAGAGTACTCCCTTTGGGGAAATCTTTGATAATATGATTTGCTACAAGAAAGAACTACGACAATTTAATTTGCTATGAAAAACTGAACTCCAGGTCTTTTTTAGCATTAATTTTATGGATTTCTTTCAAAATTTCTTCTAGCTGATTGTCACTTACATTTCAATCATTATTCCTAAATGTCCTTAATTATTTATGTAATATAAAATTAGAATTAGTAGTTAAGGAAATATATATCACTGTATTAATCAGAGAAGACCACTTTGCGATGTGTCGAAATATATAGGAGGTATTGTTTTTTATTTGTAAAATACAATGCCAAATAAAGCTTAATATATTTTATCCTTTGTAAATTAAGTATTTCTAACCATTTACAGTCTATTAGTAAAAGTAACAAAAATCACAAACTTAAGAATTTTAGTGTGCTAAATAGATTTCAAAACATTGAAAGTGAATTTAGTGTTTTGAAAGTTTATATTTAATATAATGATTTTATATTCAGGAATAGAGTCCTGACACAATAAACATATTTGTAGCAATAAAGGAATGTCTACAACTATGTTTGACCGATGCATGTAATCAGCTTGTACTCTTAGTCTGCTGACTTGAATTTAATTAAATATCCTTAGAAAATTACATGAACTTCTTGGATATATTCCTAGCATAAATATTAGTACGATTTTGTCTAGCTATAGTCAATAAGATTTTTCATCTGATAACAGCAATGACTTTTTGGTATGGCACCTGGTGTTGTTCTAAGAAGGGGTTCACTGATTTTACTCCACTTATTTTTCTTTGTAATATGTGAAGAATACAAGCTGTTCTGATAGTTTTCTATAAATGTATTTTCAAGTCCGTGAAATCTGATTGTAAAATCATTTCAGGGAAATTGATTTAAATATTGATATATAGTGCATTAATTTATCATGAATTAATAAATGAATTTATGCGTATATCTGTAAACCATAATTATGCCGATAAGCCTTTTCAATCACGGATGTAATTAATTTTGATAACGTCTGGTCCACTTTACCAATTATAAGTAAATTGAGTATATACTCACTCACCAGTAAACCCCCTATAAAATTTAGATGGAATCTGTTTGACGTGATGCAAAGATCTCCATTCAATTCCTTGTATTAATTATTTGGTCATCATCTCCAAGGAAAGTAGGCTTCGAAGAAACTAATTAGCTTTAGACATACCTCAAGAAATATAAAGGACTTTTCAAGCATAAATTGGTCAAACTTATTCTTTAAAAGAAGAAGAAAATGTTTTTGCAATTATGAGACATCATTTTTTCTCAAGCTGTAAAATTTATAAATATCTTAATTTATAAATATTTTAGATTTAATATCTATAATTGGAGAAAAAAGATGAACACAACTTTAAGATTCACTGAACAAAAAACCTGTGATTACTTTAAGGAAGTGATAATATTTCATACAAAAATTCTGAATTCCCTTACAGGCTCCCAGTTTTGTATGAATTGTTCAATGATTTCAGAAGCCTGATTCCCAGTTTTGTATGAATTGTTCAATGATTTCAGAAGCCTGGTACCCAGTTTTGAATGAATTGTCCAATGATTTCAGAAGCCTGATACCCAGTTTTGTATGAATTGTTCAATGATTTCTGAAGCCTGATACCCAGTTTTGTATGAATTGTTCAATGATTTCAGAAGCCTGATACCCAGTTTTGTATGAATTGTCCAATGATTTCAGAAGCCTGATACCCAGTTTTGCATGAATTGTTCAATGATTTCAGAAGCCTGATTCCCAGTTTTGTATGAATTGTTCAATGATTTCAGAAGCCTGATACCCAGTTTTGTATGAATTGTCCAATGATTTCAGAAGCCTGATACCCAGTTTTGTATGAATTGTTCAATGATTTCAGAAGCCTGATACCCAGTTTTGTATGAATTGTTCAATGATTTCTGAAGCCTGATACCCAGTTTTGTATGAATTGTTCAATGATTTCAGAAGCCTGATACACATTCAGGAAGAGGGAAGAGGAGGATAATGAGTACCTCCATAAAACAGGAAGAAGATCCCATCAAGATGGTTTTTGATACGCTTGACCACTCTGGTAGAAACATTAAGCTCTGTTTGTATACACTGTTTCAATAGAAAATACTTAAAATAAATTTGAATTATTTCCCTGTTGTATTGTCAATACTTGCGTAAATGGCTTACTATTGACGACTGACTTTGACACTCGTATGGTAAACGGGGGAATTTTGGGGTTAAAAATATGAATATGACTGTTTGAAAAGAAGGTTCATATGTGTAGAATTGAAATGTAATGAAATACAATTGCCATAGGATGTATTGATCTATTTTTGCATGTATCAATCAATCTATCGGTAGAGTTTTATACAATGATACTTTCACTCTGCAGAAATGTCACCATTAGTTATTATTTGTACTGCCAAAGAAAAAAAAAAGATATGTTTCTTTCTTTAAGTAGAAAGTGCAACAGCAATTGATAAAACCTATTTGAGTATTGTTAAATTAACTGCATTATAGACGGATTTTAACTTATCATACACATAATAATTGAGTCGTTTTAATTTCATTGTTTATTATAGAAAAAGAATCGTATAAGCTTTTCTTCTAAATTTAACAAAACCCTCTGAAAAACAATTTAAGATTGTTAAGATTTTACTCTGATCATTGTAATGTTCCGCCCGATCTTTAAGCTTTTCGCCTGTGTTCGACCTACCGACGCTATATATTGGTGTTGGCACAATGACATGAACTTCCGTAAATTGAAACCAGGCTTTTTGCCATCGTAGACAACCGTTTCTTCAATAAAAATGGAACACGTTAATTTACATACTTGGTCATCGGGCATCTGCAAACTTATTTTGTGAAAAAATATTATGATTTTACATACAAGGACTCCGAAGTAAGTGGATATTTAAAAAAACGATTGAGTTTCTCATTGATTACATCTATGTAATCCTTGGAGACCAGGTCTTCCAGCAATCTATTGAAATCTCCATGGGTCCTTATTGTGCCTCGTTATCAGCAGTCCTGTTTTATTATACGCCTATGAAGCAGAATTTATTAAAAACACTTATATATGAAAAGAAGTTTCTTGCTGTAGCCTTCAATTCAGCATTTAGATATATCGACGACGTTTTATCAATTAACAATATTCATTTATACCTTTATCACCTGCATACGGGATTTATATCTCTCAGTTGATTTGATACGCAAGAGCATGCTCTACGTATGACCAATTTCTAAAACAAGGTAGGTTATAGACAAACAAGTTGATGAAACAAGAATATCAGCAGTCTCATTTGAAGTCATAATTTCGTAAGTTCTATGGTCGACACAATGACCTTGTCAGCAAATACAATTTATCATTGAGTCAAATGCTGACTGACGTTTTTCATACAAATTGTTATGCCATTATTTACACTATGATTTTGTCGACGGTTTTTCCGTTATTTCCCAATCATGACAAGGAGAACACGGTCGACAGGGGACTCTCACTCCTCCATGGCACCTGATCCCACCTATGATGTTTTAGAGGTCCGTGTTTGCTCTGCTCCTGATTTGTATTGTTTAATGGACTTTTGAGCTTGAATACTGTTCTTTATTTCCATAAATTTCATTTCATTCCTAATTTGATTTGACATATCCCATCTAACTTGATATAAAAGACAAAACATAGTCTGCCACATCTGTTTTATATATATGTTTTACTACATGACATTGATTGCAAACTAACGACAAAGCTTTATGATAAACGAAATGATTTCAGATTTTCTATCGTCAACTTCACTTATTTATGCAGCAATATACCATTATCACCTGCATATAGGGTTTATGTCGTTTATTTAATACGTAAGAGCATGATCTACGGAAGACAATGTCTTAAAAGAGGCAGGTTATTGACAAACAAGCACGATGATACAAGAATGTAAAGAATTTCATTATAGGTCAACATTCCTCAAATTCTATACAGTGTAGTCGATGGGGCTGGGAGCTTCTTGTTATTAATTCTGTAATAGATAACGCCCGACGATGGGCTAAACATAAAAAAGATCTTAACACTTTGTTCGAATGGAAAGTATTATTGGTTATATGTTGAAATATCGTATTAAACGGTTCAGGGGCAATATAAAAATCATCTATCCTTCTGTCTTCAATAATTTAGAGAGGGAATTCGCTTCGCAATCGATAGGAACCAGCTCCGATTCTCGTTCCCGGCGCCGCGTCAAACTTAAGAATTTTAAAATAGGTAGTGACTTACTTCGCTAAGCGTCCAGCATTGGAAGTGAAAGTCATGGGTCTTTCAGATATGACCTTAAAAACGGAGGCACGAGTCCTCAGTTAATAAGGTCTCATCCGAAAGATCCGTGATTTGAAATCACTTCTGATGCCGGGCGTTTGGTGAAGGAACAGTCAATACCTGCGTTTACGTCTTAGGTTTGATGCGGCGTGGTGAACAAGAATCGAACCCGGGCCTCCCGATCAAGAAGCAAACACCCTACTACTAGGCTACCGTGACGCCAATTTTGAGATTTGTTTACTAGTATTCAACAATATCTTTAACAACGTGACATTTTCCACATATTTCAAACACATTTAGTTTATACAATACAAGCGGTCTGTTGCAGTAGCCTTATTCGTAAGGATTTTTTGTGAGTTGAACAAATAAGTACACTATTTTGGGGTCTTAGTATGTCTTTTTATGTCTTAACATGCTAGATAAAAAAGAAGACGAATGGCAAGAGTAACATTAATATGTTTACAGCAAACCATTTTCTTTCAAACAAAAAAAACTACATAAATAAGTCAAAACAGACAAAACTCATGTATAGGTGGTCTAAAATCTAGCTGTAAGTATTCTCTATCGAAATAAATTAAAAAATAATTACTTTTTCTTTTTCCAATCACAATAATACTAAGTGTATATTATTAAATGTGTTATTTATTTAAACGAACATACATCAGAGAGCAATTATAAATATATTCAAAGAATTTCACTTAAATACACAAGAATATGGACTATATACATGAAGAAGAGCAACTTTCCTTGTCCCTCGTTGAATTGATTAATTGGATGTTGTTTAACGTCCCACTCGAGAATTTTTCAATCATATAAAGACTGTCTCTCATTAGAGAAGAACGATTAACTTAAAACAAGAACGCATTTCTGGTAGTCAATTCTGGGAGGTGATGACTTTCTGCTCCTAAAAAGGCATGAGATGAGGTAAAGCATCCGGTCTTCTCTCTACTCTTATTCCCTGCTTAAACAATAAAATCTTTCAATCAAAGAATAAAATCTGCAAGGGAATGATATCACCTTTATTTTGGTAGTTCTGACTATTAACTTATCACAAAATATATGTAACGAGTGATTTATCTGTCTCTTAAACGCCAGGAAAATCATCATCAGTTTAAAACATGATTAAAACATGATTGAAGCTTTGCAGATCTCTCTTTGCAAAAGGATGTGCTTCTGGATTTTTTTAAATTCCAAGGAGGGATTTTTAAAATCAGGAAAGAGGAATACTTTACTGTATACAAAGTTATTTTCTCATCCCTTGTTATTTTCGCCCTTTCACAATTGTAAGCAAATTTACCCTGTTTTAAATTGTGTTTAAGTGTCAATGCTGTCACATGTGAATTTGCCGCCTTTTTAGTTCGCCCACTAACGAAGAGGGCAAATTTAAAGGGGCGAAAATAATACAGGGCGAAAATTTCCTGTATACACCATAAGTTTTCCGATGATAAAATGGAAATTTATAAGGAGATAACCTTGTAAACAGAAGTGCTCCGTGTGAATAATCTTCTATATTTCATCTATAAACTTTAAATTAACATTTCAAAATGTCTACAGATAAAATAAACAACAAACATAAATTTTAAAACAGATGATGAACTTACCTTTTTAAAACAGATTTTGGGTGGTGTAAAGATGGAAGCATCTTTAATTCCCATTGTCATGTTGTAGAAAATCCACATAAACTGACCATCTACGAGAAGAGATAAATTTATAGCATACTGTTAAGAACCGGCTTAAAGAAAACTTGAATAGAATTAATCGTGCTTTATCTCGTGTATTTTATGATTTATGTGCAAAATCGTCTTAAAAGATTAAAGCATCCTTCTCCGAAATCGCCATTTCTTTTTTTCTATATATTTTTCTAATTGACACCGTTCCGCAGCGTGGGATTATAAAATGTAAATAAGGAATGTTTTTGAGTTTTGTGTGAGTTGTCGGTGTTTAAATCACACAAACTTGTCACGTAGGCATATTTCATGAAACTCTATGCCTACGTGCAAGTCTATGTGATTTACACACCAATAATTCACACTTAGCTTAAAAACATTCTTTATATTTACATTTTACATGCTTAAACGCTCCAAAAATATACTCAATGTTTGAATTTCTCGCTGCCCTATATCGTCATATTTTATTAACGTCTCTGTAGCCTCATTTTGACGTCACTTTAGCGCGAGTTTCACCGGGTATGTTTCTACGCGTGAGTCTACACAAAAATGTCTTTCAAATCAATTTGACAGTTTGCTTAGTAGAAAAGCACAGTAAATGTAAATATAACAAATTGCAATGGCCAAAATTTATCCAATTACGAAAACCCTCTTGATAAGTTGAAAAAAGGAGTAAAAGAAACATAAAAATTTAAAATAAAAGAATAACAAATACCTGGTTGGGGGATCTTTGAGGTGATTTGTGCAGACTCTACAGGGGTACAGTTTGGTCCCACGGTGACGAGTCTTGTTAAACCGCTCACCATGAACATGTACGTATCTACCTTAATTGTGTTAGGCGATACACCCATAAACGATCGCCTGACTAATTTGGCTCCAGCTGAAATCAATTAAATTAAATAAAAGTTATTTTGATTTTATTAACTGATTTTTTTTAATAATGACAGTCTTATATTACCTTTCCTCCTAATTGATAAATACTTTATAAGAATTCATACCAATCTTATAAGAGATATATTTACATTTTCCTGTTAGTGTCTGAACACTTTAGGTAAAAAAAATGAAAGGAGTTTGTCATAGAAATATTAATAACGGTAGAAACTTTAGATCATCGTTAACATCAGTCTTTGATATATAAATATCTGAAACAAGTAAGGTTCTGCCTGACCTGGGATGCATGTTTGGTTATAGCGACCCGTCGCTGAAACGCAGCACTGTCCTTTTGCCCACGAATAGGATTTATTCTGAATGGATAAGAAATTTACTATATTTCCAACGCATTTTTCACGATGTAAGACAACAGTTTAATCTGTGTTTTGGTGTATTCTTTTTATCGTTATCTGTTACTATTGTCTACCTATCTATATTTATGAGTATCCGGTAATATTGAATCAGAAGTCTCTAATGAGACTGTAGCTCTACTGGTCTGTACGTATAACAAAGAAGCACTTGGATTTGTAACTTTGCAACATGCAACAATAAATAGAATTGTGTAGTCTTCTTCTGTGCCAAGTTATATTGAAATCAAACAAAAACTGTAGCAGAAGTAGCATTTTATAAGTATTTCACAGAAATTTCTACTTTTTAGTAACCATGACAACACCATTCACTTAAATCAAAGCCGAAATACATATTGTGTATCGTAGTGTATTCTAATTGTGTGCCAAATTAGATTGAACTCAGACTAAAACTGTAGGAGAAGTAATGTTTTAAAGGAATTTCACAGAAATTTCTATTTTTAGTAACCATGGCAACACCGTTCATCAAAATAAAAAACCGATGCACTAAATTATGAATCTCAGTGTAGTCTACTTGTGTGTCAAGGTATATTGAAATCAGACCAAAACTGTAGGAGGAGTAGCATTTTAAAGGAATTTCAAAGAAATTTCTATTTTTAGTAACCATGGCAACACCGTTCACCGAAATCAAAAACCGATGCACTAAATTATGTATCTCAGTGTAGTCTACTTGTGTGTCAAGGTATATTGAAATCAGACCAAAACTGTAGGAGGGGTAGCATTTTAAAGGAATTTCACAGAAATTTCTATTTTTAGTAACCATGGCAACACCGTTCACCGAAATCAAAAACCGATGCACTAAATTATGTATCTCAGTGTAGTCTACTTGTGTGTCAAGGTATGTTGAAATCAGACCAAAACTGTAGGAGGGGTAGCATTTTAAAGGAATTTCACAGAAATTTCTATTTTTAGTAACCATGGCAACACCGTTCACCGAAATCAAAAACCGATGCACTAAATTATGTATCTTAGTGTAGTCTACTTGTGTGCCAAGTTATATTGAAATCAGACCAAAACTGTAGGAGGAGTAGCGTTTTAAAGGAATTTCACAGAAATTTCTATTTTTAGTAACCATGGCAACACCGTTCATCAAAATCAAAAACCGATGCACTAAATTATGTATCTTAATATAGTGTACTTGTGTGCCAAGTTATATTGAAATCAGACCAAAACTGTAGGAGGAGTAGCGTTTTGAAAAATTGTTTACAGACAGACGGACAGACAGACAGCTAGACAGACAGACAGACGGCCGGATGACGGACACCTTACCATCGCTCTTCTGATCTCTGACCAGTAGAGCTAATAGAAAATCAGCAATATCAAAATTCAACTATATACTACTTTATTAAACTCCAAACATGGAAGAATGCTAAATGTCAACTGCTTAATGGTTTTTCAATCTATGTGACGTACGGATCTCATAAAAGATTTACAATCAACAACTTCATAGGAATAATTTAAATAAAGATAAGAAATTGATAAATAAAATATCGCATGCTTAAGAAAATGTAAATTTAAAAGTGTATTGTTTATAAGTACGGTCTCTAGACATTTCTTATAAATTCTTATGATTTGCTTTATTTTAATATTTTAAAGAAATAAACACTTTTGATTATGATTCGTCGTTTTATGACTTTAAGGAGCTGGGATACAGACTTGAAGTTCATATTTTCTCAAATTTTCTGTATAATGTCATGGGTTATACGTTGCTCTGGCATTTCACACGGAAATATAAAAAAGCGTGTTCAGAAACTTCTTTTATCTGGAAATTATCAAAACTACAAATTAATGGATGCGTTTGCTTGACACATATACTTGCACTTTCACGAAGTAAACTTTATCCTTGATACTAAAAATAGAAATTGTGTTGTGTATTGGTGGAAAATATTAAAACTATAATCCACAAAATTCAAAGAAGAAATGCAAAACCAACTCACCTGTATTGTCATTTCGTGCTCAGTGATGTGTGTAGAGATTAACAAATTGAACAAACCCGGTGAAACCTAAACATTAACAATAACAGAGCTCGTGCCCTGTTCACAAATACAGAAGTTTAACGTGATTTAAAGAAGAACGAAGTTGTCATTGAATGTGTTCAATTCATTTAAATGGCTTTATGTTAGAATAAACATATAAATTTAAAAAGTAAACAATGCATTTGTGTTCAGGCCCCTTTAAACGTTAATTTTTTTTCTGTTTTGAAGTCTTCTTTGTTGGTTTTAAAGCCTTAAAACGTAAATATAAGGAATGTTTTAAGGTTTGTGAATGATACTGGTATGTAAAACACACATACTTGCACTTAGGTATATTTTTATGAAGCGAGCTAGCCTACTCTATGTGATTTACACACCAATGACACTCACAAAACCAAAAAAAATCCTTAATTATTAATGGGCATTTCTTTCACTAAATGCTGTAAATCCTAGATAAAAGATATTTTTCATATTCATGTCTTAAAATATTTCACACTCATTGTTAATAAATTTGAGTTTCTCCTCATTATAAAAATATATACCAGATGGATTTTTTGTTATCTTATTTAAATTATAGTCATTAATAATATTGGGAGAATCTTTACAACTCATCAAGAAAATCGCAATTTCTAAGAAATAAACGAATGATTTACTAGTGATTTATAAAGTGTCCGAAATCTTTATAAGATCACGTCTCACTAAGCAATCATACGTACTCGAACAGACGACAGAGAAAAATGATTAAAAAATTGTTTTGCTCTACAAAATGTTTTAATTACTCGAAGTCATACTTCTTTATACCGAATTTGACTACGGTATGTTCCGTTTACATGATCAATACATAGGGCTCTCAGTGGGTGTTACCGTTCAACAGGGGATGCTTACTCCTCCTTGGCACCTGATCTCGCCTCTGGAATATCAAGGGGTCCGTGTTTTATGCCCTCTTCACATATTCGTATTGTTTGTGGATTTTTCGAGATCAATCACTGTTCGTTATCTTCACTTTTTTTTTCATTTTTTAAGATACATTGCATAAACTGATTTTTTTTCTATTCATATATGCACTGTTAGTACCTTTTACAAACAACCTATAGCTTTTAACTAAAAAAAAGATAGATTTCATTATTTATCCATGAAATGTTTTCCTAATGTATAACTGTAAGCTTACAGCTGCAAAATCGTCTATTTGGTCGAATTCGTCTTCCTTTGATTCAGCTACGACATGTGTTGCTGTTCTCCGAGACTTAGCATCATACGAATACATCTAGAAAGAAGTACAGAAAAAACCCATATAGTAAAAAAATATAACAAGAACCATGCAGTGCAGAATATAAATCATGTATAGAAATGCACAGAAGATAATATACATGTATATTCATGCTAATTAATACACAAATTTCGAGATTATCTCCCTTGGTGCGCTCTTTCGTTAAGGAGGGGAGTTTTGTTTCCGCGTAAACTGGCAAATGGGACATTATTACTAAGTTATATTGAATACGTTACATCATCGATATACCGGTCTGTTTTAACTGTTTGTTATGATTGATGCACTCATCAATCGAAAATAGTCGAATTTAATTAAAAGCGCCATTTTTTCTGCCAAATAATAACAGGGGAAAAAAGAAAATATCAGTGGATAGCATCATACGAGGAAAAAAGACATAGATCTCTAAATCATTACGTGTCGGCATTCGGAATGTCTCACCGACTCTTTCCCTTCTGATAATTTAAAGACTCCACTTACTTTTTAGAAAAAGTTTGTACAGTCAAAGAAGAATTTTTTTCACAAAGACTATGACGGGTTTTTTTCCCCAAACATTCGAACTGAAAACATGTGAAGTAATGCTCAATATAATCATCAAATTCATAACTGCTTCATATTATACAGTATACATAAATTAATCTTTCTATAACATTAAATACATTTGAAAAGCCCTGACCATCATTCATTTATTCATGTACGTTTTTTTCTACATCAATAACCTTTTTTTCTCTTCCATGCTGATATGGATACCTTTTGCGCCTCTATCTTGGAGAGCTACAATATCGAAACTTAAGTAATGCGTACATTTTCCCTCATTTGTTACTATAAAAGTTTGATCACTATGCAAAGTCAACCACAAGAGGAAACTATGTCATCACGTCAACTGAAAGGTGGCAGAAAGTTGTGAAAAATTGACTGAATAACGCAGTTTAATCCTTTGAACTTACAAATTTTTGAAATCTTTTATCCCTGACATTTGATAAAGATTCTAATGTGTCGATGTAGGTCTGGAACTGAAGGGGTGGACAACACTGCGGGGCAGTCCCGGGGATAAGCGAGACGGATAGTCCGGCAAACAGGAGGGAGGATATTGCAAGCATTTTAGAAGCTGTATCTAGTCGTGCTTTAACCGTCAAAATGCTCCTGCTTGCCCAAATGTTAAAATTCCTTACTTTCTCAAAAATGAAGATACAAATGAAAATAAAAAATAATTCCAGATTACAAATCAGTTGTATGAATTTCCTTTTTATACAATTACATATGTTTCCTTATAGATTATAAAACTCCTATAAAACGCATTGCCTTTAAGATTGATTGATTGATTGATTGTATATTGTTTTACGTCCCATTCGAGAATTTTTCACTCATATAGAGACGTCACCATATACCGGTGAAGGGCTTCAAATTTTGACCTTTACTCGGCACTCAGGGCCATTGAGCAGTGAGGGATCTTTATCGTGCCAACGCCTGCCGTGACACGGGGCCTCGGTTTTTAAGGTCTCATCCGAAGGACCCGCAACTTTCACTTCAAAGTGCCGAGCGCATGGCGAAGGAACAGTTGCTACCTATTTTTTATCGACTTAGGTCTGTCGCGGCCGAGATTCGAACTCACGACCTACCGATCACGGAGCGAGCGCTCTACCGACTGAGCTACCGTGAACGGTCATTGCCTTTAAGAGGAAAACACCTTATTTTTTGTTTCCTGAAGTCTCATTTATTTGCTTACATAAACAAAATTGGATGCATTTTAAAAAATTTCGATGCTTTGATAATTCTATTATACAGTGTTCATTTAAGTATTGCTGCAAATATTTACCAAGCTTTACACTAGATATTTTCTTTCTTTATGATATGGAATACTCATGGCACCCGATACCACATTTGATGTTTTTAGAGGTCCGTGTTTGCCCTGCTCTGAATTTGTATTGTTCCAATGGACTTTTGAGCTTGATTACTGTTTGTTATCTCCATATTTCATAACAGACAACCATGCCAAATATAAGAAATTTAAGTATTTTGAGATATTCCATATGATAGTTCCTAAAATAACCTCAATAACAATACTGTACAAAGTAAAATACAAAGACATCAATTAAAGCCTAAAGTACAGCGTCGTGCTAAAATTATATATTCGTGGAAAATGGCGGGCGTATGTGATTCGAGATTTAAGTCTTTTATTTCAAAATGTTCTGCGAAAAACTGTAAAACCTGTGACATTTTGATAACTAACACTTCTTTCACCAGTAATCTTACTGGACAGAGCTTCTATACCGAAACTTGGGAAAATCTGAACTGCAAATCTACTAATGTTGTCTACGGCATAGAATGTAATCTTTGTTGACTGGACTTGTTTATGTTGGCGAAACCAAGGATTCACTTCATAAAAGAATATCGGGTCACAGATTTGAAATCAACAACGGGGGCCAGCAGCTTCTCTACAAGCACTTTTATTTACCTGATTATTCAATTTTGTCAATGAAAGTTAAAATTGTAGAAAAAATTTACCTCCATACAAACAGTCCATCATTGAGTACACCTTTCCGTAGACAACGATAAGAATTTTGGATTAGAAGACTAGGGACAGCCTTTCCTCATGGATATAATGACAATGTCGATAGTGTTGGAAATCTTTCCAGTCCACAGTGTAACAAAGTAAATGTAATGGGACTTTTTAACCATACACAGAGACGTAAGCGTATTCATGGGCATCGGTCTTACAATAAACCTTTAATACACGATGTCTCTTTCTGATTCATTAATACCTTACGTAAATCAACAGTTAGGTCTACATCATATTCGCACCAAACTTTACTCTATCCCTTTGAATCTTTTACGTAGTCTTCTTGAAAAGGTCGAGGAACGTCCATTTTTTGATTCCTCGACACCAGAATAAAGGCTCGGATCTGTGATTATGGATATTGCAAATCATAGGCGTTTTAAACCCCCATGTTTTACCGAAGAAGAAGCAGCTAAAACAGTCCGTTTTTTCCTTAAACTTCAATATACCAACAAAGGAATTGACGCGGTTAATATAAGTAATATTCTTAATTACAAAAGGGTCCAGTCTTGTATTCCACCATATTTCAAGTTAAGATACATAGTGGGTTCAGTAAATGTTCAAACCAAGCCTCTTTCTTTACTCTTCACTAAGATATTAACAGTAATGAAGGGGAAACTTCAAGAGTATTGTGCAACAATATATTCGAGAAGTGGTGTAAATCAGATGTAGATACTTAAAAATTCCAAGGAACTTTTGAAAAATTTGAAATCACAAGATTTTACTAAAATCAACAGCTTAAAAACTTACGACTTTTCAACTTTATACACAACCATTCCCCACGATAAATTAAAATCCAGGCTTTTTGATGACATTGACAGCTGCTTTTTCAACAAAAATGGAACTTGTAAATTTACTTACCTTGTCATTGGTCATTTGCAAAATTATTTTGTTAAAAACATTCTGATTGTACACACAAGTACTCTGAAGTTGACATTAAAAAGATGCTTGAGTTTCTGATTGACAATATCTATGTGGTTTTTGGAGACCAGGTCTTCCAACAATCTATTGGAATTTCCATGGGTACCAATTGCGCTCTGTTATTAGCAGACCTTTTTTTGTATTCATATGAAGCAGAATTTGTTCAAAATCTTATACGTGAAAAGAAGAAAACATTTGCTGTGGCCTTCAACTCGATATTTAGATATATCGACGACGTATTGTCAATTAACAATGGCTATTTCCATTCTTATGTCGAAATGTTATATCCCGGTGAGCTTGAGATAAAAGATACATGTACTACAGAGTCTGACACATCTGTTTCATATTTGGATATTTTACTTGAAAAAGACGTTAATGGTAATCTAACAACCAAGCATTATGATAAACGTGATGACTTTAACTTTTCAATCGTCAACTTCCCTTACTTATGCAGCAATACACCTTCATCACCTGCATACGGGGTTTATATCTCTCAGTTTACTCGATACGCAAGAGCATGCTCTGCGTATGTACAATTTCTAAAACGAGGTAAATAATTGACAAACAAGTTGATGAAACAAGAATATCAGCAGTCTCGTTTAAAGTCATCATTTCGTAAGTTCTATGGTCGATACAATGACCTTGTCAGCAAATACACTTTATCTTTGAGTCAAATGCTGACTGTCGTTTTTCATACTAATAGTTAGGCCATTAATTACACACTGAATTATCGACGGATTTTTCCGTTATTTCCCGATCATGACAAGGAGCACACGGCGGGTCTGTCTTGTCGGCAGGGGATGCTCACTCCTCCATGGCACCTGATCCTACCTCTAATGTTTTGGAGGTCCAAGTTTGCTCTGCACCTATTTTGTAATGTTTAATGGATTTTTTTTAGCTTGAATACTGTTCGTTTTCTCCATATATTTCATCTTACTTTCAATATCCGGATAAGTTGATTGCACATGCCCATGTGACCTTTTGGTAGTACATTTTTTTCATCAATATGGTTCCAAACTTTAGGTATAGCAGAATGTATGAAGTTTTTCCCCCATCGAATACATGTACATTTTACATTTCTTTGTTGATGCACTTGTGGTCAGTGATTTTTCTGAGAACTTTCAAAATCAAGTGATAATCAACTACATTTCCCCGATTATGACAAGGTGGACACGGTGGATGTGACCGGTCAACAGGGGATGCTTACTCTTCCATGGCACCTGATCCCACCTCTGATGTTTTTAGAGGTCTGTGTTTGTTCTGCTTTCGATTTGTATTGTGTCTAAATGGACTTTGGAGCTTGCATACTGTTCCATATTTCATCCAATAAATAAGAGAAGAAGGCTTCAAATCCTGGAACAAACATGATCTTATAATAATGACAGCAATGTACATTGTATATTTATTGATAATTGCATATACAAGAGATATCCTGTATACAGTTCTTGTGTATAATGATATATATAGAATAAAATATTTTACCATTTTATGCATATTCCTCTCTTTTTCCCCATGTAATAATACAGAAGTTGGTAATATTTTTTAAAGTTTACTTAAAATTCTGGAAGTGACATGCCTAAAACATCACTAAATTTAATATTAGTCTGGTTAAGTATGAAGTTATTACAAGTATACCATGAAGTAAAACCATTATGATGAAGTATTTTAGAATATTTAAAAGCCTCAGTAAATAAGGCAAATTCACCATCAAGATTCTCTAATCTATGCTAATTTAACAACACATGTACATGCAATCATCCTTGCTCAGATCTTTTTTGCTGCTTTTATAGTAAACAGTTAGCAAATTGTTGTAAAATTTAAAAAAAGAAAGACTTTCTGCCTCTACATTTACGTTTTTTTTCTCGAATTTTATACACGTATTTGGATTTCTCTTAAATTTAGAAATTGATTACTGTATATGATGTACATTGATACTAAAAAAACTATTACTCGGAACGAAAAGGATAGTGGATTAAATAATGTGGCCAAATAGATGGAAAGCAGCTTTTACTCTTCAAATAAATGTGAGAAAGTCTTTTTAAAAAGATTTATGACTCTGTTACAACAATCATTTTTTACACTAGTTAATGTATCGTCAGACCCAAATACTTGTACTGTTTAACACATTCGATGTTGTTATTATCCAAATTGAAGGGGATATTGATGTTAACCAGATGAATTGAAAACTATTACTTTTGTTTTCTATTTATTAATTTTGAGATACCAGTCTTTGCATTATGTACTGAGAAAAGTAGTATTGTTTTTTTTCTTTAAGGCCCCCAACAGTGGGTGAGAGATGTACCATATCATCAGCATACGTGAGACAATGAATGTGTTAACGAGGCATTGTTTAATTTTAGAAAACTTTCATAATTTGAAAGATTATTTGAAAGCTGTATTGTAAAGATAAATCTTGAATAGATTCGGACTCATGTTATCTCCTTGTCTTACCTCATTGCAAGTATGAAAGTGACCAAATAATTTGTTACCAAGTTTTTTTTTTTAGATGAATAGCTTTTAGAATATTTCTTTAAGAATTGTGTAAAATCTACTATGAACTCTTTAATAGTTAAAGTTTCAAACCAGCATGGTTTATACTATCAAAAGCCTTATGAAAATCAGCAAGGCAAGCCCATAGTTTTCCTTGACCTGCTTTGAAATGCTTATCAATAAGTGTTTTCAAGACAAAAACATAATCTGAAATTTTAGCTTGTTTTGCAAATCCTATTTGACATGGGTTGATTTAATAATTGCCTTGTAAATATTTATCAAGTCTTGAATGAAGAAAATTATTGAAAAGTTTATAATGAGCTATTAATTGTAATTGCTCTATTATTGTTGGGCTCATTATTGTTGTTAGATTTGTGTACCGGAGTGGTGTAACCATCACACCATGAAGAAGGATAATAGCCATGAAATGGGCAAGCATTAAAATCTTATATTTAGACTGGTATCAGAAACATTTGGCTAGGTTTAATTATTTCATTACAGATCTTGTCAGGACCGGCTGCCTTACCTTTTTTTTTTTTTTTAGCTTTCTGATTGCTTTAGTCATTTGATTAAATATGGGTTTTGATGTTTCCTCAGCTTGTTTCACATGGTCTTTTAGAAACCTTTTTTCTATCTTTGAAATCCTCATGCGTTTTATTCAATTTCTTGATGATGGAGCTACTGCTTCCTTACTAGTTTGAGCACATATATTTTAGCTCATTATCAAACCATCTTTTTTATGTTAAAAAGAGTTTTTTTTTTTTTTTTTTTTTTTTTTTTTTTTACATGTTTTATTTTAGGGTATATATGGTATTAATTAGATATTGGTAGCAGCATCCAAACATTCTATTATTTTAATTACTGATTCTATAGACTCTTTGTGATTGATGTTCATCAAAATTGCCGTTTATCTTGTAATGCTTCTTTTAACTTAATAGCAGAGTCCCCCCCCCCCCCCTTGGCATTTAAGAATGAATGGGTCTTTTATTGATTGTTATGTACACTATTATCGCTTTAAACATAACCATATTTAGATAAAATATTCCATGACAATATACAATATAAGTCAGACAATGCTGAAATAAAATCTTCGATTACGGGGGCATAAAAACAAAAAATATTGTACAATGTCTACATCAGTTAAAAGATTATCAACAACACAATTACCTTGACAATAATGGCAAGTGAAGTTTCCAAAAATGTCACAAAAACGTCTTGATTCATAAAACAGAGTTGGTTTGCAATACAAAAGTCTACGAATTCTTTTCCTCTTTTATCCATGCAAGTATCTATTGAAAATATCATTATCAATTGTATATGTTTCAAATAAGTGTAAGTTTTGATTGTTATCATCAAATGTTAACTTTGCTGCATTTCCTGAATCTAGTATTAAACTATCCATAAAACATTTTTCCTAAATTTTTAAAATGGACAATTTCCTTCTGCAAAGCTCTAGGATATTAACATAATTTCTTAATATTGCAGGTGATCCCTCGGAAGGGGGTTTATACAATACATATATACAACTCTATATCATAATCGAAAAAAGGATTCTTATCTAATCCACTGATATTATTCACTACATGTATATGGATTTAGAGATTTGATATTTATTAGCACGCTTAATTTATACTAATATTCCTCCATAGTATCTGCCATAATTAGAACTACTTCTACAAATGACATTAAATATCATCACGTATGAAAATTGCATCTGGTCAAATGTCTGTTTTCACATAAAAACACTAAATCTTTATCAATATTTTTTTTTTATAGAAAAGGTCATCATTCAGTTTATCAATACCATCCTCCAATATTCCACAGTTGTCTCTTTGTATACTTGATACATTCTAGATAATCTAACGAGTACATATTTGGAATCCCAATTCAAGAGAATAGGTACAACTTTCTTCAATACAAATAATACAATATATATTCTAGGAACTATATATGAGAAAATAAGTTGCAAGTAAAATAACAGTAATGAGTTTAGTTGCACCAAAAAATGAAAGTGGTGCAACATTCATATGTGGAATTCATATACTGGAGTAACACGAATAGCGTTGTTTATATGTGTATGTATTTGATACGTTACACATAAAAAAGGAAAGAAAAGATAAAAAAAAAATAATAATGCTAAAGCAGCAATTAGCAGGATGTAGGGTGGATTTTCCCACTTTCTAGATGGTGCATACTGGAAGTTTCGAATTAATTTTCGATGGTATGTCCTCTTGGGTAAAACACGGTGAGAGTCATAACTATCTTGGCTTTTCCTTCCGTCTTTGAGACTATTCCATTCCTAGAACTAAAGGAACTGTTTTTTTTATTATATAAGCTAACATGGAGACTAATACACAAAGACAGTCCTGGTCTAAGCTGTGAACTGTAAAGAGGGTTGTTTTACAGATTTGGATTTTTTGTGGAACATTTTCAAATAATCAACAGGAAGAAAAACAAAACAGTTTTGTCACTTTTCCTGATCATAGCAACAGTGTTAAATGGCAGTAAGTTATTATCCTCAGGCGGTTAAAGCATGATTATGCAATTATTTTCCTTTGGTTTGTACATCACACGAATTAACGCTACAAATATAACATTTAGTACTTTAAAAAAATCGATTTGTTCTACAATATCTTCACATTTTCTAACGTAAGCCCGTCACGCTCTCGGTTGAATCCTCCAATCCACTCGATCTGGAGCTGCATTCGGAAGCCGTGTCTTGCTTTCTCAGCAAACTTTCCAACATGTTGCACGTAGACGTTAATGGCGACAAGCACCCTTGGTTTGCAGAGGCCTCGTATGATTTAGGCAAGAAGTTCGTATTAAAGACGGGTTCATCTTCGTTCTGATTATTATCAAACAGATCAAGCAAAGTGCTGCATTCTTCTGTCGACAATTCCAAAATTCCATCCTCTTCATTAATATCAGAATCTGCTTTGTCGTTATTTGTATATATATAGGGAAATGAAACAGAATCGCTTTGCTCATTAGATCCTTCCGTGATAACATTGTCTGAATGAAGTGGAAGGGAAATTGGTTCTTTTTTCTGCTTTTTCAGATGCTTAACCTGGTCAGTCAATCCAACTTCCAGTGTACTGTCATCACTTTGTATAGAAGAGTGACCTCCTTCAGACATTTTCTTCTTGAGATGCTGTCGTAAGTTTAACTTAGTATGTGGCATGAACCTTTGCTTGATATTTGGCAGCAAAGCGCCGTCTTTGGTTCTCTTGCAAGGGGGTATTGAGGTATTTGGTGTTGGCTCAAGAATTTCCGGCATGCCTTGTTTAATAAGATCCTCTACCATAGCATTAATTTCGGATATACGTTTCTTTGGCTTCTTTTTCTTTTTGACTCTAGAGTAGTCTAACTCCTCTGACAAACCATACAGTTTCAATCTTAATTCCAGTTGCTAGAATAAAATATAACTATATATATTACAACACATAATTATATTTGTTTCTAGTAATAATTCTCAGACACGAGGACGGTTACATGTTTTTTTTCGATTAAAGATTATACTTGGGAAACAGATAACTGCTTTGTGCCAGTGTGCATGTTCACAAATATATATCATATATATATCAATTCCTCGTAACCCCCCCCCCCTCCCCCAGTAAACCTAGAGACGTGATTTTTTCATACTTTAAACCTTTACTTATTTTAATTATTCACAATTTGCTACGCTTATTGTAAAGCTCCTGAAGATTTGAATTGAAAAAGCAACAGCAAATAAGACATTTTTTAAACGAATTAATGCATTTTCACTAAAGAGCACTGCCATAAAACCCTTGACCAATGAATTTTACAATATTTGTAGAAACTCAATGCTTATAACAATTAATCATGGCAACATTTTGATTATTTGATGAGTAAAGGAGAAAAGATAGCATTTATTTTGATAGTTCGACGATGGACAAAAACAGATAGCAGTCGGCTTAGATGAGCAAAATGTAAGGTCTCTTGATTTTTTAAACATCAAACAGTGCAAAGCCAAAAGTACTATTGTTTAAAAAAAAGAAATGAACTCTCTCTCTCTCTCTCTCTCTCTCTCTCTGCCTTGAATACAGTTTGTTTTAGAACCATATATCTGAAGCACCTTGGGAATGAATGATACCCCCCCCCCCCTCCAACCATACGATTTTGGAGATGCTTTAACTTATCAATACATTATATGAATTCCAATCATATTAAGCCTACATTCTTATAATTTATATTTCGACTTTGTATGGGTTTATAAACCGCTTAGATATCAGTACATGAAATTAGTTGATCGGTTCTTTTTATTTTATCAGATTAAGAATTAGTGACGCCTTACAAAAATTCTGATGAGCAGTTTTTGATATTTCGAATTCATGGACTTTTGGTGTTCCTCCAACTTCTGCAAACTGCTTTTGTCCCTCATTAATTCCTTCATATATTCCACAGACGCTTTCAAAATGGATCCCTTGTTCTGCTTAAGGTTGCTATAAATAAATGCATTCATTCATTCTATTTATTCCTTGTTATTGCAGTAACATTCCATTTTCACTTTCCTTATATATGATTAAGAATATTTTTTGACAGAAACACTCTCTTAAAATGGGCAAATGACAAGCAAAATTAATTGACAATCAAAACCTGCAACAATTTGAATTAAAAAAAAAAAATATAGGCAAAAACCAATATCTTAAGCAAGTCCCATAATGCAATTCAGAGAGTTCTGTTAGAGGGTAATATAGTGTCTGGCATTGACAGAATATCATCATAAAACTTGTTGCATTAAAAACAAGAGGCCAAGGGGCCAGATCGCACTGAGCACACTGGCTATGAAGAAACAGAAGTTCAGTATTGAACCGGGGGGGGGGGGGGACTTAAATTTACACTACCTCAGGATGCTTCCTTATCAATATTACCAATCATGGCTTTGCTGTTCTTTAACAGAAAAATTTTTTTCCTATGGATTCCTATGTCAAACTCCGATCGATTATTGTGGCCCCACCCTACCCACCGTAAATGTGAACAAAGAATGAGTGGACTTAACGCCCTATTTTGGATCTTTTTGCGATTCCTCTACCAAGCTGTATATGAAGTGAGTCCAAAATATTTTACAAGCAATAGAAAGAGCTACGTATACATGCTTATATTAGGTAGAAAATTTGTACAAAAGCAATGTCTTGTTGCTATGAATCAAAATTGAAGCAACGATACATTAGTGTCGCCGTCCGGAATTTGACATGTACCCGGAGTGATTTTTAGCTCACATAATCAATATTAATAGGAGGCGGAGCAGTCGATCGGCGTCAGTGTCGACATCTCTCTCTCTCTAGAAATTCGAATATGCGTATGGTATATTACAGCGATGTCAATATGAAATTAAAAATAAAAATGTGAGGACACGCAAAATTATAACAACATTTAATTTTATTAATTCTGAAAATTGCAACCAAACACGCTCCAAGACGTGATTTAGATCGAGGTCAAGTTGAAGAATACAATGTAATCGTTCTCACGAGTACACTCGCAGGTGGACATCACGTGATGAATTGTAATATTCAACAAGTCAATCTAAGTCAAATCAAGGTTAACGCAGTCATAAAATGGAATCGAGAAGTTTGTTTTGAACATGTTTTTTGTAAAATTAAGTGTGAGCGCACGTTTGTCGGCTCTTTTCCCTTTGATATGACATTATTTTGTTCAATATACAACTACAGTTTTCTTAAGAACAGCCGACAAAAATGCGCTGACTATGTATTCAGACGCATGAAAAACGCATGACCCTGATTATCTATTGATATTCAAGAAATCTTCGGGCCCCTTGCCTTCGATATTTATTTAGTTTTTCTCGAATTGAGCGTTTTAAATTCATATCTGTAACAAGAATAAACGCTTAAGATAAACATTTTATAACACTTTAATTTACGGCATTTTTTCTGGACACCTAAATCCACCCATTCCTTGAACCTACACTACCTGAGGATGCTTCTGTAATAATATAAATTATCATGGCTTTGCTGTTCTTGGGCAGAAGATTTTTTCAAGATGATTCCTTATATTATTTTGCAAAACTTTGACCCTCTGTTGTGCCCCCCCCCCCCCATTCCCTGTGGGGTCATAATTTGAACAAACTTAATTTTACAATACCTAAGACTGCTTCTGTATATATATATGACTAATAATGGCTTAGTTGTTCTTGAGAAGAAGATTTCAAAGATTTTTCCTATGTAACGTGTATATGATCAGGTTCTTACAAGGGATATAGGTTTTCCTTTTACTCTGTCTGAGTTCATGATTAGAATGATTATTAAGACAGGTATATCACGCATAATACTCTGATATTTATTTAAAGCACTTTACAGTAGAAAAAGATTTACATAGAGAAAGTGTCAGAAATGTAAATTACTAAGCAGTAATTAATTAACAACGATTACATTGAAATCTATGGGGACAAGCGAATTTTTTTAAAGCTAAAAATTCAAATAATAATATCAATAAAAACTGTGGATTAAATAAATTGAATTAGATGTATTAAAACATTAGAAATAGAATGACAATTTAGAACGATTTACCATTTTAAAATTGATTTTTTTTTATTAATTAAAAAACAGAAGGAAATAACTCTTACCAAAACTCAAGGTAAATGAGGATACATCCCACTCTTACATGCTAATAGTAATAAACGGGAATTATGTCTAAATATACTGAGTAATCAACGCCTATACATCTGTTATGTATTCAATTTCATTGAATCTATTATTATGCTATTAGGGATAGAATACCTTAACTTCTTTATTGCTTCTTTATTGTTGGATTCCACAACCAACTTATTCAGCTTGCTTCTGAATGCCTGACCTTCCAAAAATTTTGCCTTATGTATATCCTTTAACTTGGTTTGGCTAGTCCATTCCAAGGGTTGTCAGGTCATTCCATTATTTGAAGTCTGCAATGGGTTTTCTTCAAATGCCCCTTAACCATTGCACCCATATATTCTTATGAAACTTTTGACCTACTGTTTTTGCCCCCGCCCTACCCCGGGGGTCATGATTTGAACATATTTGAATCTACACTAACTGAGGATACTTCTTTATTAATATGACCAATAATGGCTTAGCTGTTCTTGAGAAGAAGATTTTCAAAGATATTTCCCTATATATTTCTATGGTAAACTTGGCCCCCCTGTTGTGGCCTTGCTCCATCCCTAGGGGTCATGATTGGAACAAACTTGAATTTACCCTACCTTAGGATACTTCTATTATAATATGATTATGCATTTTCTATATACTCTTATGTAAAACCCCCTCTTGTGGCCCCGCCCTACCCCAAGGGGTTATGATATGAACAAGCTTGATGCCACCAAATTTTCAGGAATCCTTAATTATCTCCCCTTGAAAGAGGGCGCAACAATTCCTGTAAACAAACTTAAATTCCCTTCACCCAAGAAGGCTTTGTGGCAAGTTTGGTTGAAATTGGCCAAGCTAGTGGTTCTTATGAAGTTGAAAATGTGAAAAGTTTACTGACTACAGACGACAGACGGACACCGGACACTCTTTGATCAGAAAATCTCACTTGAGCCTTCGGCTCACGTGAGCTGAAAATCTTACTGGGGCACGCTTGCTGGAAGGAGAGTTGCCAATTCTTTAATTCTGTCGTTTATGTTGTATCGACGGCGCCGTTCAACTGAAATGGTGATTGAATATAATGATATATGTAACACTAAAGATGCATATTCTTACTTGTAATTAGTTTCATTAAAAAAGTATTAACATGTAAAATCATCTTTGTTTTGAGTAGTAGAAATGTATTCAATGAAAATCATGATGTGAATTTTATTTAATCGTTATACGAGATAATATTCTAAAGGTTCTGACAACAGTTTTATAAAATATTAACTGTTTAACGAAGTAATTTTGATATCACTGTAAAGAGCAAAAGACATGCATTTATGGTGATGTCACTTTATATTTTTGTGACGTAATTACTCGAAGAGTGACGTCGAAATCTCCTGTTTGTTAAGTATACTTACCGTAAAAAAGTTACGTAACTAGACAAAAAGAGGCCCATGAGCCACAAAGCTCACCTGAATCACTATGGTCGTACTATTCTTCATCAGCATCTTTGATTTCATATTGTGGTCCCGTCATATTACCGGGGTCATGATTTGAACAAACTTGAATCTAAGCTTAATATGGCACATAAAAATGCTTTGCTTTTCTTGAGAAGTCGAGGTATTTTTGAAAATGTTTCCTATATATTCCTATGTCAACTGATCGTCCATTGTGCCCCATCCTTCCCCGGGTCGTGATTTTAACAAAACTCTGTCAACACTACCTGAGGATGTTTCCTACTCCCGGGTCATGATTTGAACAAAATTGAGTTTACACTACCTGAGGATGTTTCCATATAACGCGCGTTATTCAATTTGTTTGCAAACACCGTAGCAGTTATGAGACTACATCTTTCAAAATTAATATTTCAATGCTTAATTGTTGATTATTTTATCCAACATACCCCCGGGGGTCATGATTTTAACAAACTTAAACCTACGCTGTCTGAGGGTGCTTCTTAACAAATTTGACTAATCGTGGCTTTGCTTTCTTGGAAAGAAGATCTTTGAAATGATAAAGATCGCAATAAGATAAAACTGTTCAATTCACGAAGTTATCGCGCTTTGAAAATGGCTATCTTTCCCTGTTTTGAAAATCCAATCAAGCGAAAATCGACTATTGATAATGATGCCCTACTGGTGTGACGACACAACATGTATCGCATAAGCGGTTCATTATTGATATATATGGCACGCCAAATTCACAAAAATTAGATAAACATAGGTTAACAGTTGATAAACTAGGTTTATCGATTGTAAACTATAGATAACGAACTGTAAGCTATAGTTAACGATTCGTTAAATGTAGTTTGCATTTGTAAAACTATATTTAACGGTTGTATAGTGTAGTTTACGAATGCTAATCTATGTTTATCTGTCTGTAAATAAACTTTAAAAATAGATTTTGCTGATAAATATAGATTCTCATATGTAAACTATAATTTGCATTCGTTAATCCATAGTTAAGAGTTGTTAATCAAAGTTTTACAAATCGTGAAACTATATTCATCAGATAAAATATGTTTTACATTCGTTAACCATAGATTTCGGTCGTAAACTATAGTTAACTGTCATTTATACTCAAAACTATATTTAACAGACGTAAACTATACTTATCGATCGTAAACTATAGTTTTGAGAGCTAAACTATGATTCACATTTGCCAATCATAGTTTATCGTCATAAACTATAATTCACACTCGTAAACTATAGCTAAGAGTTGTTAAATATAGTTTATGAATCTAAACACCTGTTAACTGTTAACGATAGTTTTCAATTCAAAATTTCGCGGCACCAATCGCGAGAAGCAATAATGGGGTATAGGTTTTATCAGTGCGGAGAATATTAAGGACACGTGTTGGGCATTATCTAAAGCAAAGACCGAGTTATATATAATCAATATTAACTTTCTCTATTTAAACAGGATTAATTGTACTTGTTTTAAAATGTCGTGTATATATACATTTCCTATGGGAAAGTAATAAAAAATATGATAAAATTTTAATTTCTTAAAAGACAGAATATTACGAGATTTTTGCTCAAGCAGAGGAGGGTGAGGCGCCTTTTACAATGTGCCAAGCATTTTCCCGCCACATCTCATTACCAAAACAAAGAAACTGAAAGAGAGGAAATGCAGTGGCGGATCTAGATGGTGTTGTGGGGTTTCAACGTCCTCCTTTGGATTTGAGAGAGAGAGAGAGAGAGAGAGAGAGAGAGAGAGAGGTCCCAAATATTTGTTGTTTTTTGCTAAAGTAAATGTTCCGTAAAAGGCCACTTTTATATATGTATGAAAAAAAATTCGGTTGTTGAAAAATAAATTCCGCGCCTGCAATGTTACATGCACTGTGTTATGTCTCTATTTACAGATTAATATAAGATATACATGTATTTTATCAAAAACAGATGACGCATTTCAGTTTGTTGCCTCATAAAAGGAACAATTGGCCGGTATGCGGCCGATTTTTGACGCTTAATGCGTCAATGTTTCTTGTTCATTATTGCTTGATCAGCACAGAAGGTTGGAAAGACGGCAAGGATAGATATCAACGATTTCTTCCGTTGCTGAAGACAAATTTGGTTACAGACCGTTCACATGCATTTCTCTCTATTTTTCTCTTTTAAGTCAATAATTTTCTTGTCATTTTTCTTTTTATTTCCAACTAGATTTGCTTTAAAATAATAGAACATTTACTTTTAATGCCAACAAGACATATACATGCATATATATTTAACAACAATTGTCGTTACATAGCAAAATCTTATAATGCTGTAACTAGGATTAGCCTATCTATAATTTACTAAAAAAAAAACAACTATTGTTAACAATAGTTTTGATCGTAAACTATGGTTTAGAGTCGTGAAATCTAGTTTCACAGAATATTGTGCATCTCCGATACAAAATAAGAGATTCTGTTCCTAAACTGTGTTTCTCAAATGTAAAACTATGTTTATCGCATTTTTGTGAATTTGACGCTTTGTATGTCTGTAAAGTATACTTTACAAACCCTAAACTATAATTTACATTTGTTATGTAGTTTAGAGTTGTGAATCATAGTTTACAAATCGTGTAACTATATTTATCAGATAAACTATATTTTGCAGTAGTAAATGATTGCTTTCCGTGTTAATTATAGTTTACGCTTGTGAAACATAGATTATCGTGTAAACTATAGTTTACAGATGTGAAATATAGATTATCATCGTTAACTGTTGTTTACGGTCCGTAAACTATAGTTTACAGTCGATAAACCTAGTTTATCAACTGTGAAACTATGATTAGCTCATCTTTGTGAATTTGGCGTGCCATAGATATATGACAATGAAATTTACTCGAACAACAACGAAGATACAAGCTTTCTCGTGTGGTATGGGTTTACGAGTGTCATAGTGAACTAAAATCCGATTTTGACCAGAAATTTAGATTTCAAAAGAGCTTACACCAACCGCATATGTTTTGAGAAAGGAATAACTAAAATGTACAAAATGCATTAAAACTACCCAAGAAAACACAAAGAATGTTTCAAGTTTCATGGAATATAGAGAAAACAAACATTAATCAAGCTTAAAAGCCCATTGAAATAATACAAATTTGGAGCAGAGCAAACACGGACCTCTAAAAGCAACAGATTAGTACCATGGAGGAGTAAGCACCCCTGTCGACCGGTCACGCCCGCTTTGTGCTCATTGTCATGTTCGAGCAAACGGAAAAATAAGTATACAATTCAGTGTATTCGAAAGCTTGCCTCGTTTCAGAAATTGTTCGCATGTAGAGCATGCTCTTGCGTATCGAATCAACTGGTAGACGCAAACTCTATATGCAGGTGATAAGGGCATATTGCTACATAAGTAAGGGAAGCTGACGATAGAAAAGTTGAAGTCATCATAAAGTTTTGTTCTTAAGTTACCATTAACGTCTTTTTCGTAAAATATCCAAATATGAAATAGATGTGTCAGACTCTGTGATATCTTTTATCTCGAGTTCAGAGGGATATATCGAATCAATGTGGAAAGGAAAATGAATATTGTTAATTATCAAAACTTCTTCGATACATGTTAATCTAAATGTTGAATTAAACGCCACAGCAAGAGACTCTTTTTTCATGCAGAAATTTTTGAATAAATTCTGCGTCATAGGTCTGCTGATAACTAGGCACAATTGGTACCCATGGGAATGAATTCCAACAGATTGTTGGAAGACTTGATCTACATATTAGTGTTTGAAACTCACTGCAAAATAAGCCAGACACGCATGAGCTGATTGCTAGTAAAAGTTGTCAGCCCTGCCAAAGATCTACTAGTCCGACAAAATAATTGTCTTTTATAAATTTGTTTTTAAGATTAAAAGATTGGAACCAGGTCACCATAACTTCATGCTACCGATACTATTAGTTGATATGAAAGAGATTTATCAGATATATGAGTTTTAATTATTGAAAATTTTAACAAGTCCAGCAGGGCATCAATGCATGCAAGTAAATTTATTCGCCCGCAAAATTTGTGCGTCTCGGGCGGTCTGGTGCAAGGTTATTTCAAACACTGAGTGTTACATAGATATTGTCAAACAAACTCAAGCATCTTTTTTATATCAACTTCGAGGTACTTGTGTGTAAACTCAGAAAGTTTTCTAAAAAAAAAAATAATTTGGCAATTGATCAATGACAAGGTAAGTCAATTTTCAAGTTTCATTTTAACTGAAAAAAGCAGCTGTCTATGATGTCAAAAAGCCTGGACTTTAATTTATCGTGGGGAAGAGTTGTATATAGCACTGTTGAAAAATCGTACGTTTTGATGTTAATGATTTAGGTAAAAAAAAATTATCTCAAATTATCTAAAAGTTCCTTGGAGTTTTTAAGTATTTACATCTGATTCACACACTTCTCAAATATACTGTTGTACAGTATTCCTGAAGTATCAACTTCACCACTGTCAATATCTCGGTGAGGAGTAAAGAAGATGCTTGGTAGAACATTTACTGGAACCAGCTTTGTTTCTTTGTTTGAAAGGTTTTTTTATGTAGTTTAGGAATCCAGTATTGGTATGGTAATTCAAATTCAAATTGATTGTTGGGAATATTAAAAATAATTAAAACTGACATGATTTTGAAGAATTTCCTCCTTAGAAAGGGAAATGCTTTGGTGTGAATCATTCTAGGTTCGAGTGATTTTGACTGACAGGTAAAGCACGTGAATTTCATGTGCAAAAATACAAAAATAGGAGTCAGGATGAGCAGTCAATTTGGAAATGGGCTAGGCGTGACTCGTGGTCGTCAAGCGGATTGGAATTTTTCTATTTGAATAAATAGCTCACACATCCCGGTTGTTGAATTAGTCGAGTAACTTACCAGGCTAAACCTAGGCAAATTTTTTTAGATGGGTCACCCAAAAACGCTTTGTCATCCTGGTGTTTTTGTACAGGTTAGAAAGTTTTTACCGGTATTATTTTTTTCATGATAAAAACTTCAGACTCCTGTGCATGGAACTATTTTGATCTCAACCACAGGAGTTCGCAATTTTATCAATAATGTCAGTAGAAATCACTCCATTGACCTAGCCATGAGCTATGCGTAAGCATAGCGAACAGAAATGCAACGCGTTTTGGAGAAATAGACCAATTTGCTTTTACTCCTCGCTTATTCAATACAACTCGTCAACATTCATATCAAACAACATTTCTCTACTAAAATTTGCCTTTTAACCCTTCTTGAATGCTGTCATTACCCACTTTCTTCGATTTCGCGTAAACATTAGTTTTATCGAGAAGCCATTGCATGCGTGACGTCACATCAAACCCTGAATGCTGACGAGTTGTATTGAATAAGCGGTGGGTAAACGCAAATTGGTCGATTTTCCCATTGATCAATTGCGAACTCTTGTGCCTTAAATGCACGAGAAGAATTATTACTATCTAACTATATAATGTTTATAAAAATATTATTTAGAATATGTGAATACCTCAACCTCAAACATAATTTATATGTATGATTCTGACAATTTATATAAATTATCATATTTTTTTCTTCGCTTTCGTTTCATTTATCATTTATAGTTACTTATATTATGTTGGTCCTTCTTTTTCCGCTCTTTTCTCCAGTTTTCTTCCTCCTTAATAATCCTTGTATTCCTGGTACTCTTTCCTGGTAATGGATTTTTACCTTCCTTGGTTTGGGCATGGGTATGGCAATGCCCATTGGTGGAGCTATTCTAAGGAAATAAAGTACCAATTTAAGGTCTTAGGCAAGGCAGGGCTATCTGGAGAAAAAAGGCTGAATCCATAGTTTTTCTTTCATTTATAAATGTCAATAAGAGCCCTGGCCCTAGTGAAATATTTGAGAGTTATCTCCCGTGTAGATTTATCTAGGTTGTACTAATAAAGTGTAAGTATGTTATTGGGCGTAAACAACATGAACAATGAATTCCAATCCCGATCGTGGAAGATAAGTAATAAAGAAATTTAGACATTCGATATCGTATTTATTCCTCAGAGGATTTGTTTAATATCAGATGCCATAAATTTATAGAAGTCATTGGAGTGTAACACGTTGCTTAGTGATGTATGGTCAAAGAAACAAATTCAAACTGAATATATACAATATAAAAATTAGGCCTACAAAAATTGTTTTCTCTTAAATATCAGTATAATAAAACAGTTTGCCCCCCTTATGAGTTTTAATATGGTGAAATAAAGATCTGAGACTTGGCCCCGAGGAGTCATTAAAATGATATGGAATATAAATATAACGAACAGCAATCAAGCTCAAATGTCAATTAGAACAATACAAATTGAAGCAGAGCAAACATGGACCTCTAAAAATATCAGAGTTGGGATCAGGTTTCAGACTAATCATGATCATCCCCGTCGACCGGCCCCACATCCGCAGACAATTCACTGTTAAAGATATACACACTATATAAATGCGATTTTTATGTGAAACAAAACGATTAATGATTGGAGAAACATGATTTGTAATGAAAAATAATACTTTCCACAAAGTTTTACTAAATAAGTCGTTGTAATTGCAAAACAATTAAGCAAGATCTGTTACTTAAAATTCAGCCTTTTCATGAATATTGATGAAAGAAGTGCGTAGACAGAATATAGACACGCATGTCCGCGGGAAATCATTGACAACGAGGCACGTTGCATTTTGACTACGATTATGAATAAAAGGATAATATCAGTCATTACAGAGTAGATGGTTAATATTGATTGTTTTAAAAGATAAACTTGTATCTTTTAGCATTAGACCTGTGCAATCCATGACAAAAGTTATTTGTATACCAAACGGCCTATCTCGTTTTCTTGACGCAGTTGATGCATCAATTTAAATAGAGGTATTTCTTTCTTGGCAGGAAAATAAATAATTATAATTTGACATCTTTATAACGCGTTCATTTTCAATTGTGTAATTTACAGTATTTTCGTAACTTTATTTGGTAAACAAAATAAATAAATTTCCAACTTTATTTTTAACTGACGCAAGTTATAGCGTGTATATCTTTAAAATAATGGCCTAACAATTTGAATGCGAAATGTTAGCCATCACTCGACTTAAGGCTAGATTGTATAAATGAAAAATGTGGAAATTTGCAAAGACGATACATATCATTAAATATATACAACTAGCAAGGATGTTATGGGGCTATGGAGACCATTCGAATAAGTGGGTATTCGATTGAAAAGTAAACGAAAAAACTACCTGTATTCAAAACAAACTAGAATTATTCTACTTTCAATTTAAACTGTTTTTAGTGAGATTTTAGCATGTAATGTGTTATTAATTGATTCATTTCTTATTATTGTTTCTATAATGTATATTCATGTATTTTATAACTATTCGTAATTTTTTAACCTAACATGGTTTGCCAATTGATCTAATACAATGATTCCTTCGACCACTGCCGACATGTTTTTTCTACAGTTTTCTTCGGGAATTATGTTCTTTCTTACAATTTCGTGGAATTCCTTGGATTTACATTTAGAATCTAATTCCTCAAATTTCCATTCTAGCAGTACATATTCATTGTTTGATTTTTTTTTTAGCTCATATGAACTGAAAGCTCAAGTGAGCTTTTCTGATCACCTGTTGTCCGTCGTCCGTCTGTCTGTCCATCTGTAAACTTTTCACATGTTCAACTTCTCCTCAAGAACCACTGGGTCAATTTTAACCAAAGTTGGTACAAAGCATCCTTAGGTAAAGGGAAGTTTAAATTGTTAAAATGAAGGGCCAAGCCCCCTTACAAGGGGAGATTATCAAGAAAAGACAAAAATAGGGTGGGGTCATTGAAAAATCCTCTCAAGAACAACTGGGCCAGAAAAGCTGAAACCTTTATGGAAGCATCCTAAGTGTGTAGATTCTATATTGTTCAAATCATGACCCCCGGGGATAGGGTTGGACCACAATGGGGAATCCAAGTTTTATATTGAAATATATAAGAAAATGTTTAAAAGGCTTCTTCTCAAAAACAACTGGGCCAGAAAAGCTGAACCTTATATGGATGTACATGTACCCTGCGGTAGTGTAGATTGTAAATTGATCAAATCATGACCTCCAGGGGTAGGGTGGGACCACAAAGGAGAATCAAAGTTTTACATTGAAATATAATGGAAAATATCTTTAAATCTTCTTCTAAAGAACCACTGGGCCAGAAAAGCTAAAACTTATATGGATGTATCCTGTGGTAGTGTAGATTGTAAATTGGTCAAATCATGACCCCCGGGGGAGGAGGGGGCCACAGTAGGGAATCAAAGTTTTACATTGAAATATATAGAAAAATTTTTAAATATCTTTTTCTCAAGAACCAACCGTTCACGGTAGCTCAGTCGGTAAAGCGCTCGCTCCGTGATCGGGAGGTCGTGAGTTCGAATCTCGGCCGCGACAGACCTAAGTCGATAAAAAATAGGTAGCAACTGTTCCTTCGTCATGCGCTCGGCACTTTGGAGTGAAAGTTGCGGGTCTTTCGGATGAGACCTTAAAAACCGAGGCCCCGTGTCACGGCAGGCGTTGGCACGATAAAGATCCCTCACTGCTCAATGGCCCTGAGTGCCGAGTAAAGGTCAAAATTTGAAGCCCTTCACCGGTATATGGTGACGTCTCTATATGAGTGAAAAATTCTCGAATGGGACGTAAAACAATATACAATCAATCAATCTCAAGAACCACTGGGCCAGAAAAGCTGAAACTTATATGGATGTATCCTGCAGTAGTGTAGATTGTAAATTGGTCAAACTATGACCCCGGGGGTAGGGTGGGACCACAAAGGAGAATCAAAGTTTTACATTGAAATATAATGGAAAAACTTTTAAAAATCTTCTTCTCAAGAACCACTTGGCCAGAAAAGTTGAAACTTATGTGGAAGCTTCCTGAGTTAAACCATGACCCCTGGGGTAGGGGAGGGCCACAGTATGTATTACAAGGGGGAAAATCTGGTGTAGAACAGCAGGGCCAAAGTTACTCAGGTGAGTGTTGTGGCCCATCGGCCTCTATTTTTTAAAAAATTTTTTATATTTGAGATTGATCACTGTTCATTTTCTTCACTTTTTTTCATTTTCCATTCCGATATGGAATTCAGCAGCTCTCTTAAATTTTCCCGTCCCCATTACTCGTGAGAATTTCATGGAATTTTTGGAATTGTTTTCTTAAATGCAATGGAATTTTCTATGGAATTCCATGAAATGTTATAGAAAATCTACATTACGGTGTCGGCATTAAGGAATCCCCACCAAATTAGTTAATTTTTCTACTGTTACTTACTGAAGAATTACCGGTCTGTACAACAGATTGTAGGTCTTTGTCAAAAGGTGATTCCACTAGTACGGAGTTCATCACATTACCTATGACATTGTCTACCTGCAAAAATTAGGCTCTTGTATAATAAAAGGTCAAAAAAGGCTAGGCTGGGAAGTGACAAAATACAAACAGTGTTATTCATACAGAAATGAACTCAACGCAACCTTGTTAAAGTCCAGCATGACAAAAAAGAGGTCAAAACACATACACCCATGGGGCTGACATATTTGAACTTTCGTTCACTCTTTGCTTTCGTAAATCAATACAAAAAGATTGACAATCAAATCGATATTAAGTTTTGCTTTATGTCCTATGAAGTATAATTATTTATATAATATATAATAATACATAAAAACAAACAAACAAACAAACAAAACAAAACAAAAAATTACACAGAGAGAGAGAAAAAACAACATACGTCATTCAGGTCCTCCATATCAAATATTGCACATCGAATCTCTTCAGACAGAGGAATTTCTGCAACTTCACTCGTAGTACATTCCACCAAAGATCCTAGATCCGCACCGATATTTATATTTAAGCTGCTAGACACCTGTTCTTTCTGGTTTTCTATAGACATAGCAGTAGAATAGCCAATATTGGAAACCCCAGCTCCACTGATCTTCAATCACAGTAATGAAAAAAAAATATCATGAATTGTGTTAGAGGGTTGCAATATCATACAAATAAAGCCCTTTCATGAGGTTGATCCATAGATATATCACGGAAAAGCATATCAACCGAGCAAGAAGTTAAGTTGTAGTGCTAGTTGTTTTTATTTCTTTATTTCCTTTGATTTGTGATTTCCTGAACTTTGTAATGAGGAAGGGGTAGGGTATCCCAAAAATTTGACAAATACTACGGCACGCAACAATCAAGCCCATTTAATTATCGGCCGCAGTAGCGGCCGATCTATTTAAGGTTATACTAGAAAGTGCACATGGGGAATGAGTAGCTATTTTTTATTGCTTCGTTGGAATAATTCCTAATTGATAACACACAAAAAAGTTATAAATAAAAGTTTAAAAATTGCTTGGTATTAAGTTTAGATAATTGTTATTACGTTTTTTTTTTTTAAATTTGCTTTACATTTCTCATCAGATATTTATTAATTTCTGATTTTATAAAAAGTTCTTACATGAACTGCTCCCCAACATGGGTGTGCGTAAGATATAAAAACGAAACGTATTGAGTTTCCGGATATGAAGTACAGTGCCAAAAATAATTAAGGGTACATACCACAAACAAAAATTAGATGCATAGATTGATATATATATATATATATATATATATATATATATATATATATATATATATATATATATATATATATATATATATATATATATATATATATATATATATATATATATATATATATATATTGACTGATTTTGAATGGAAATGACATAAATAATCAATCCCTAAAATATAAAGACATCGAAAGTTTTCTTTGGTGCTTAGATGAGCAACTTTGTATCGTTTTCTTTATAATTCTATACAAAATTTTGCACATATTTTTGACATTGTGACAAAATCTTACAAAATTCTCCCACTTTACCAAGAAAATATCATTCAGGTTACCTATTTGAATATTAATGTGAGAAATATATACTGCATCAAATACTTTTACTAATTGGATTTTTTTTCTTTACACTCTTTTCTTGTGGAAATAATTCAAAATGCTAAATATAGTTTTGCAGCCGATTTGATGCTTTGCGTCAATTTACCTTTCGTTTGATTTTGATAAGATCACCTAGACTGAAGTGGCTGTAAATTATGTATGTACATATCTCAATTTGTAGAATGCAATTCTACTTGGTTTTCTATTTGTGATCATAACGTTGGGTACGATTATTTCATTTATACTTCATTATTTTTATTTAATTATGCTTATCAACATATTCTATTTTGTTCCATTTTAGTAAAAAAAAAAATGTAAATAAAAATTTAAAAATCAATATGATAATTTTACAGCATTATAGATACCTTATAATAATTATAAAAAAAATGTAATATCATGATATTATCGTGTTAATTTGGAGAGGGGGGATTATATTATATCGCGATACGTAATATTTGGCGATACCCATTCCTATAAAATGGTTGATAAACCATTGAGATTTAGCAAGAAGTAATATTATTATAATTCTGTTCTAGTTTATGGAGATATAACCACATTTAACTGTTCCTAACTAAATTTGCATCCATGCAACAATTTCTAAGTTTTTTTCCCTTTTTTTCGGGGACAATATCTGAGACGCGCTTTAATACTTAAAATTAATTCATTATTAATCAATTATAGTGCGTCAGATTATTCCGATAATCGATTATGAAAAAAAAAATCCGATTTCCCATCACTACCCATGCCTAATAATTCGGTATGGGGTTATTATTATTATTATTTTAATAAGAAAAATATGTCACTTCAAGTGACTGTGGTTCTATCAAATTTACTCCAGCTTTAGAAGGATATAGGCGTATATTTATTTAATATAAATTTCAGTGGAGCGATATAATATTATATTCAGCACAGTATCTTAATTATTACATAAGTGAATTACACTTGCATGCTCACTTTCGCCCAAACAAAAATAAATTCATTTCTGTAAAGTGTCAGTCAAAAAAGTCAAAATTAAGTTCAACAATTTCCAGTTTAGCGCATAAACTATTGAACTTTCTTTACTGAAGTCAATCTCTTGACCTCAGACAAGTTGATCTTGTTTAAGTAACTCGAATCAAGAGTTCTCCTGCACCCGATTTTCAAGGAGAAAGCCTGCAAACTGGCGGATAATATATTAATGGTACTAGTACTGAGCGATTATAAAAGTCAGTGTTTAATGAGGCAATACACTTAAAGTAAACTGTACAGAAAAGGAATATTCATTTTCTAATCCTTAATCTTTTTTTCATTTTAAGACAAAATATAAAACATATAAAATGCTGGTTTTTTAAAGTTGTATGGTTCGCAGGTAGTAAATATTTTTCTACCCCCGGATATTATTATCTGGGTCTGTTTATCATATATTTAAATGACGAAAAATATATATCCTTTCCAATTATTCTTTGTCTCTTGTCTAAGTTGTTATTTAAGAAAAAAATTATTTGCCGACAAACGAAAACTCATAATTCAGCGTAAAGATCTTTCAAGAAGGGTCGCGTGCCCTTTCGAAAGTATGACAAGGTGAAGCACGTGAATTAACTGGGTAGAAGTTCAAAAAAGTTTAAGAACCTATTTATCTCACACCACGTTCAAAAAGTTTGTTTATACAATTAAGTAGAATGTTTGACCGCTTCTCTGTGTCCCGATTCCGTCAGACTGTTGGACCGCTTCTCTTCTCCTGAGTCCCGATTCCGTCAAAATAACCAGTTTTCCACAACTCTTAACATGCACTCGTGAAATATAAAACGAAAGTATTCAGTGACCATGTGCGTTATCTGCAGTTGTAGTTATTATTATTTTAAACTTCCAATTTCTTTTTATCTGTAACGGATGCGTGCTAAAGCGTGTAATTTTCGGAAAGTTGGAAACTTACATTGTAAATGAAAATGTTGGTGGTAAATCAAAATTATCTAAAATCAAAAAGGTCGGATGATACCGCTTTAATAAAATTAAACATCACTCAGCTTACTTAATTTAAACAAATTTTCCATCAAAAAGCAACAAATGAGCAAGTAATCTCCATTTATATATAATAATCTATACGATACGGTCCTTAAAATAGCACGACTCATAATTTATTTAAAATTTCTTTTTTTTTTTCAACCCCGAAGTACTTCAAAAGTTTATAAACTTGGAAGAAACTTTTCCTTAAAAACATTGAAAACAAGAGGCCTAAGGGCCTTAACGGTCACCTGAGTATACTGTAGATTCCTAAATATATGAGAGCATTTAATAATCGCGTAATTTCGTGAAAAGCACCACTCGCAAAATAAAATTACTCGCTTTTATTTTAATGGTGGTGATATCCATGTAAAATCGTGATCAAGCGTCCACTCGCGAATTATTGTTCTCGACGGCTAGGAGCCCTTTCGCGATATATAAAGTACTCGCGTAAAATAAGGAATCTAATGTATACATCAATTTAGAGAATCTATAGAAGTATAAAATAAACTGATAGATGAAGCTTTAGCAAGAGAAATAGGAAGATCAGGACCAACGAAATAATTAGTCTAGTACTCAGTTACATACATAAAGTAAGTTTTACTTGCCCCCATTTATTACTTTTACCAAGCAGACTATTAACAAAACAATAGTTCTTCGGTACTTTTTTAAACCCCATATTATAACCTTTCACATTGGCCTTTCTTGGTCTTTGAAGAACATTAAATAAGTTGTTTTTGTCTCATTTTTATTTATCTATAATTTACGTCTATCTCATCAACAAAACTATGAAAGTACTTTTTGTGTTATACAATAGATCTTCTTGCATAATTCTTTTATTCTATTAACCTTCCAATTACATTACTTACAGGAATGACAAAGGGGAATAACTTCTCTCAGTAGAATACAGATTAATAGAACCCCGGACAGCACCAGAACACTTGACCAATTTAAAAAAATTGGTTAAAAAACCCTTGCTTATTAAAAGTTTTACTCTGTTACATCTTCGAGATGTCCATGAGCAGAGAAGATTTTCAAATAACAATGCATTTTCACTATAGATTCAACAGAGCCCATCCTAACACCAGATCCCATGAAATTCACAAATGCCCTCGCTCATCATAACTAGGCACTTACTGGGGGTAGTTGAAGCTTTTCAAAGAATTAAAAAATTAACACATTTTCACTTCATTATCAATAGAGCCCATCTGAAACTCCAGAACCCCTGACCCTGGGACCACAAGTTTTAAAAATTTTGCTCATCATAACTTGCACCTTGTTTATCCGCTCAATACCGGGGAGCAGACAAAATTATTTAATAAAATTAATGCATATTTTTACTATATTATCAGTAGAGCCCCACACTTACACCAGAACATCTGATCCAGGGGCAGTGAAACTCACAATTCTGGAAGAAGCCCCCTTGCTCGTCATAACTATACACTTAGTTTCTTTGCTTTATAACCAGGAGAAGAAAAGAATATTTTCAACGAAATTACGCATTTTCACTGTATAATCAATAAAGCCCTCTACCCTTTCTCCAGAACCCCCGTCCCTGGGGCCATGAATTTCACAATTTTGGAAGAGGCATCTATGCTTATCATAATCATTACCATACACTTAGTTTGTTAATATTATATCCAGGAGCAGAGAAGATTTTCAAAGAATTAATGCATTTTAGCTTAGAACCCCTCCCCCCTTTTCACCAGAACCCCTGAACCAGGGGCCATGAATTTTACAATTTTGGAAGAGGCATCCTTGCTATCACAACCATGCTTTTAGTATGTTTACATAATACGAAGGACCAGAGAAGATTTTCAAAGAATTTCATTTTCACTATATAATCAGTAGAGCCCTGCCCTAATACCAGGACCCCTGACCCAGGGGCCATGAAATTCACAATTTTGGAAGAGGACCCTTGCTGATCATAACGATATACTTGCTTTGTTTACATAACCCAGAAGCAGAGAAGAAGATTTTCAAAGAATTAATGTATTTTCACTATATAATCAATAACCCCCCCCCCCCCCCAACCAGGACTCCTGACCCAGGGATAAAAAAATCACAGTTCTGGAAGAGGCGCCCTTGCTGATCATAACCATATACTTAGTTTGTTTACACATTTCCCAGAAGCAGAGAGGATTGATTGATGGTATGCTGTTTAACGTCCCATTCGAAAATTTTTCACTCATACAGAGACGTCACCATATGCCGGTGAAGGGTTTCAAAATTAGACCTATACTCGGTACTCAGACCCATTGAGCACTGAGGGTTCCTTATCGTGCTAACGCCTACCGTGACAAGGGACCTCGGATTTAAGGTCTCGTCCGAAAGACCCGTGTACGGAAGCATATTAGTGCCACATAATGTTTTTTAAAAGTTGGTAATTCCAACTTTAAAGTTGGAATTTCCGACTTTAAGGTTGGAATTACCAACATTAGAAAAAATACTACGTGGCACTAATATGCTTCCGTACCGGTGACTTTCGCTTATAGTGCCGGGCGCTTGGCGAAGGAACAGTCACGAATTTTGTTTTAGGTTTGACGTGGTGCGCCAAACAAGAATCGAACCCGGGCCTCCCGACCACGAAGCAGAGAAGAAGATTTTCGGAAAATTATTTAATGCATTTTCACTATATAATCAATATAGACCTCCCCCCCCCCCCCCCCAATACTAGGACCCCTGACCCTAGGATCATGAAATTCATAATTTTGAAAGGGGCACCCTTGTTGATCATAACCATATACTTAGTTTGATTACAGAATACCCAGAAGCAGAGAAAAAGATTTTCAAAGAATTATTTACTGCATTTTCACTATGTAATCAATAGAGCCCCACCCTAACACAAGAACCCCTGACCCGGGGCAATGAATTTCACAATTTTGAAAGAGGCACTCATGCTCATCATAACTATGTTTTTAGTTAGTTTAAAAAATACCCAGGAGCGGAGAAGAAGATTTTCAAAGAATTAATGCATTTTCACTATAAAATCAATAGAGCCCCGCCCAAACACCAGAACCCCTGACTCTGGGGCCATGAAATTTACAATTTTCAAAGAAGCACTCTTGCTCTTCATAACTATGTACTTATTAGTTTGTTTGATACCCAGGAGCAGAGAAGAAGATTTTCAAAGAAATAATGCACTTTCACTATATGATCTATATAGCCCCACCCTATCACCAGAACCCCTGACCCTGGGGCCATGAATTTCACAATTCTGGTAGAAAGTTCACTGCTTATTACAATCATGCCATCAGTTTGACTGCTTGATGTTCATGAGTAAAGAAGATTTTTAAAGATTGCATTAATTTTGGTGTTGGAGCCCCATCCCTCAGGCCCGAGGGGGTGGGGGGGGGGCAAGGACCATGAAATTCAAAATTTTGTCCCTCTTCACTCATAGATACTGTATGCCAAAAATGGTTGAAATTGGTTCAGCAATCCCAGAGAAGCTGAAAATGTTCAAATGTTAACGCACGATTGACGACGCTCAATGACGGACAGATAGCAATAGGTCACCTGAGTGACTGAGGTGACCAAAAAATCAATCTTTTGAATGCAAATGCATCAATCAAAGTATTTTGTGAATAACTATGCATTTATCAAAGTATTATTTAATCATGGAAAAATAAGATATCGACTACCCTCATTATTGAAAGCTACATGTACGGTAACTAAAATTTGAATTTGATCTTTTTAATTTTTATACCATTATTTAGCCTTATAAAAGTATTTGATTTTTTTTTATTCTCAAACTTATTTCACCAATTTTCTTATTAAAAATTGTTTTTAAATTACAAAGAAACTTTCTTTTATAAATTAAAAATGAATTATTTTTTTGTGGATGCAGATGCATTTATCAAAGTACTATTATAACCTGCCAAAAATAGATGTCAAGTACTTTCGTTACATAAAATTCTCTAGAATTTGGATATAGTCTCCAATACTTCATTTTTTTTGGCCATTTTTTAAATTCTATATAAAACAATTATAATACTTCTTTAAATACTTTCACGATTGAATTTGATATTTATTACATAAAATACTATCAATATTTAATATAAATTAGCAATTCTCGACGAATATTACTAAGAAGAAGATTGTAAACAAATGACATAAATTTGTAACAGTGTCAAAACCGCAACAGAACAAAGTGGGGAAAGTTGAATACTGTAAAATTCATGATTGGCGTCCAGAGTAAATGTCTAAATAGTGAAGTGTAGCTCCAAAGAACATTGCATTCATCAAGCTGATTGAAGAAGCTTGCGAAACTTGTGAATTGAAATTTTTAGCTAAAGCAGTTAATTTGTATAAATTTGAGATTACTTGAAGGATTAAAGTTAAGTCTGGGATCTAGTGCAGTGGTGTTCAGAAGTGAAGTTATACATGGTCGTAGGATCCGGGGGGGGGGGGGATCATCGGCATCAAAAGCAAGTTTATTGAATTGTCTAGATGGCCAAGCGGTCTAGCGTGCTTTTCCTGTACAGCTAGGAGACAGATTCCTTAGGTCGAGACTTCAACACAGGTACCCAGTGTAGAAGTGAAATTTCTCCGTTATATATATATATATATATATATATATATATATATATATATATATATATATATATATATATATATATATATATATATAATATATATATATATATATAATATCGGTGGATAAGTTGAATAGGAGAAGAATCTTACCTCATGCGCATTTTCATTCCTATTTTCCGAGATGGCGTCAGGTTCTGCTATTGTTACGGGTTCAAATTCATCTACACCATTTCTATACTGTTCATTCATTTGTTTCAGTTGTTGGCGAATTGCCTGCAATCTTTTACTTGCATGATACATCTTCGATCTTTTCTCTCTATTTCTCTCTCAAGTTAAAAAAAAATGACGTATTTCTTTTTAAAAGGATAAAAGTTTGTATCTTTAGAATGAATTAGTAATGGCAAACTCCATATCGTGTCAATACTCCGGGACTTCTGCCGAGTTCCTACAAATATTGATGAAGTTGTACATAGCGTAATACTGATCTGTTTAAAGCTTGTAATAAAGTTAAGAGTATTGTGTCCCTGTGGTCAAGCATGACCTTAAGAAGGGGGCGAACTGATAAATAATCATTTTCTTGTGTAAGTGGAGATGTGCCGCTTTCACGTTTTATCTAAGGAGTCCACTTTATTGAAATTCACGTGTAGATCAAATGCTTCACGTTACTCTGACTAAATCTTTTGTTATCATTTTCTCTTTCCCCAAAAAATAAATTGGAAAATGGTCTTGATAAGATGACAGAGGATTAAAATGTAAAAGGTTATTTTATGCATTTTCTACTTTCAAAAAGAATGATTCCAAGAAAAAAAATTTCACACTTTGCCTTTTTAATTAACCCTGTAAAGACTGAAATTTTATGATAAGCATAAAGGTTTTTTTTTTCTTTTTTCTTTTTTTTTTGGGGGGGGGGGTCTTATTTTAAAGTTCTTCATCGAAAATTCTACATATTATTCTATGACCTTTAATTCTATGCTGAAGGATGATAAAAGGGTAATAAACTTTTAAAGTTATATATGGCGTATCTGAGCTTGAAAAATAATAATACGAGATTGAGTGTAAATCAAAATGATATATGTTATTTATGTTCAAATTAAAATTTTTACCGATTTTGAGCTTGAATAACGTCACGTTTCTGTAGTTAAATTGACTTTAAATTTTTCTGTTATTTAAATGTGTCGGTAAATAAATAGGTTATTTCAAATTTTTAATATCATTGAAACGCGATTGATTTAAATTGTGTAATTTACAGGAAAGTCCTATTTTTATATAAAATGAAAAAACAGATAGAAAGATCTTTTTAATTTTGGTTACCTGAACTTATAAAAAAAAATACGCCATATATGACTTTAAAATTAAATTACCAAAATGTAAACGTTTTTCCACTTTACGAGTGTTTTCAATAAAATGAAGAAAAATGTTAAAAATTCTTATTGACTTATATTTTCTGAAAATATCCAAGCTTTTAACTCCTACAACAAGGTTGGTAATACAAATTTTAATCACTGCACTCCAGGATATTGTCTGAACGTCGTACGTTAATAATACAACAATCATATTTATGGTCTGGCTGACATTAATGGCTATCCAATATATAAAAAAATTTCTCACTATAAAGCATTTTTTAGATGCATACACATGTAAATATAAAGGTAATGGATATGAACAATTAACTGAACGCTTATTGACGAAACTCTACCTGTTTCAGTTTGTAATTGTAAATATTCTTCTCTCAGCAGTAAGACTTTTTTTTCAAGTTGGGCATTCTAAATTTAATAATAAATAAATACCATGGGCACACTGCAGAATGTTTTCATTTAAACCTTTGAAGGTCATCCGGTTGACACCCGTTCCATGTGTCATTTCTTTTGAGCCTTGAACTTTATTTGAAAAAAAAAATCATTTTCTAAAAAAAAACCCAAATGTACCCATATTAAAAAAACAAATGTACCCTTATAAAAAAAAAACAAACAAACGTATCCATATAAAAAAAAAAACAAGACATTAGGGTAGCCAAAATCAAAATGCTGGACTGTTAGGGAGGAGTCTGTTACTTTAACTTAAACGAAAACAGAAAACTATAGCCTGACATTTCAGTGTCTTGGTCAACTTTAAAACAGCTATCCATGTATTTGGGTGATAACTACTGATACTGCATCCCTGAAAGAGTTAAGTTATATTAATGATAAATATTTATAGTTCTGTGGGGCTTATCAAAAGCATAATACCAATAATACTTTTTTTTAAAAAAATTATTATACCTCCACTCTTATTACTCTATAAAAAATGAATAGAATAAAACTGTAATTTTCCTTGAGAGGGCACTACTTCCCCACTCTAAGGACTACTCCCTGTTCATGGGACTTCATCATTAATATTCATTAACATTTTTAACCAATCGAACTGTTCAGTGGGCGGAGCGTTCAAGGAATCTCGAGTCTGTGAGATTAATGTTATTGGAAATGACTAAGGCGTCAAAGCATTTCGACATGTGATATCAAAATAATATATAGGTCCCTAAAGCAAAATGACAACATGCTATACTTCTTCAAAATATCTATGAAATTATTTTATATTTTAACGTTTTTATTTTTCACGATACAGATGTATTTATGCATTAGATATCTAACATAAACGTTATATAAATTTGTGTTTATTTGAATGCCTCTATAAATCTATATTGTCTAAAAAGTGTTTGAGTATATATGACCGTCTAATTTGTGCAGACCGTCTAATTTGTGCATCCAAATAGTGTGGAATTAAGATGCTGAACTCCAGTTTAAAGTGATAACAAATTTATTAA